AGAGAGAGAGAGAGAGAGAGAGAAAGAGAGAGAGAGAGACAGACAGAGAGACAGACAGAGAGAGAGACAGACAGAGAGACACAGACGGATTGAGAGAGATGACGTGTTTGGACGCTTTTTTTTGTACATGTAAATTATTTAATATTTTTGTTCGTTTGGGGTAGACGTAGGATTTTCAAACCCAAGTGCAAAAAAGCTACATAGTCAAAATGTGCTTTCTTGTATTTTCTTCAAAGTTGTCCACGAACCAGGTTGACGGACACGAGACATGATAAATCGGACCAAGATCGGGGACAAAACTTGTCACGTGATGAAAGACGACAGAACGTGTCTTTGACTTTGAGCGTAATTCTTGAGCATATTTTGAATCTGGAGTAGAGCTATAGGATTTAGTCTCTTTGTGCTCTGTGCACATGTCTATAAAAGATCGGAGGATTTGATGTAAAAAAAAGAAATTCCGTCTTCAAAGAAAACTTAGAGACCCGTAAGTTTGAGCAAACAATACGTATAAATTTGGAAATTAGTATTTTTTCCTCTTTTAATTATATAAAATAAATTTCGGTTCGGTATACGCAGTCAGCTTCACCGCGATAGCCCAAAAGCAAAGGTTTAAAAAATGCATACGTACATACTTTGATAATGAAAATATTATTTTATCACATGCTAACTGTTGTATTCGTGATTCTGTAAGCCTCGCCCTTGCCATTCCCATTTGCAAAGGAAAACTTCGAAACAAGAACAATGAAGCCCTGGTAGCAACAATAGCAGCAGCAACAGCAAGAACAAAAACATCAACAACGACATCACCAAATACTGGCTCACTAAAAAAAACAAGCAATGGTTCTCATCACAAAATCAAAGCCTTTTTTTTAATAAAAAAATAAAATTTGTACCTCCATGTCTTTTTACGGTCCTGTACAGCCAAGGAAAATTTCCCTCTGGGATAATAAAGTACTGTCTTATCTTATCTTATCTTATCTTATCTTATCTTATCTTATCTTATCTTATCTTATCTTATAATTTAAGTAATTTAACAGGACTTCACATATTTCATCCGCAACTCCACAAGACTCCCTTATGGGAATCTGGCTGGCTTTCTGATGTGATTTCCTCAGGCTACTTCCTTCTTATTCAAGATCTATCATCCTTATCTGCTTTGTACGTTACTCTCTTGTAATACTTCTAATCTGAGGCACTTTTATGTTCTATTGTGTTGCAAGGGCCCTAAAACTCTTTCTTAAACTAAACTAAAAAAGGCACCCTTGTTGTAAGGACACGTTGACACCAGAAAAACTCTCGTCTCCCCCTTGCATGAAAGACTCCCCCCCCCCAACCCCACCAGAACCCTTCTTTTAAAAGATGGTCAAGCCGTCTGTTAAAACGTCACAGTCTCTGAGTGGATGAGGCGTTTTCTGGTCCTCAGGAAATACAAGTAAATGAAAGGATCTCTTCACACAAATTACAGAATTAAATTTCGAGACTTCAGGAAAAAGCAGAGTGTTAGTCTGATGAAATCAACTTACTATCGCCAAAGAAACAAACATACAAACCGCACAAAAACAAACAAACGAGCAACACCCCCCCCCCCGTGTTTTTTAGGGGGGGAGTGTACGCAACTTCCCCTTACCCTCCCCCAATAAAAAAGAAAGAAACAGAAAAAGACCAAATCAACCAGAATCGTACGTGACAAAAGTACAAAACGAAAGAGCGAGAAGTTAATTGAGGAAGGAAATTGTCAAAATTAAGTGGGGAAATTGTATTTTCTTCGATAGTCATCCACTTGTAAACCTTGTAAACACTTCGTCTGACAAGCTGATGTTTTTCCAACTCACAGAATTTGGGAAGGACAAATTAGATTTTGTACATGTATGACACAAACAAGACTGCAGCTGTATGTTTCCGCATAAATAGGCAATTGGGTAGACTTAATGGTTTCATCGCCATCTTAATATAATAGAAACTGTTGGCGTGTTGCTTGCCAAAGTTTTATACACTGTATTATATTATGAGGTAATAATATCATCTTAGGAATATTATTCCCTTTTCTTTTTCCAATGAAAACAAGTACGTAGGAAATAATTGGTAACATTTCTGGTTTGTCAAAGTTGCGCCGACGATTTAAAAAAAAGTAATAACAGTATTTTTGAGTATAAGTAAAGAGAAGCGTATCGATATGATAAGGGTTATGGACGTACAGTCGAACCTGCCCTGACGGCCACCCCGCGAAAACAACAACAATAACAACAACATAACAACAACAACAACAACAACAACAACAACAACAATGCGGCTACCTTCGGGTGGGACCTCAGAAAAGATTGGTTTGTTTTCTTCATCTTGATCAGTCCTGCCTAAGACGGCCACCTGTCTTATACGGCCACTTTTCTCCTTGACAATGGGTGACCGTCTTACAGAGGTTCGACTGTATACCCGAGGGGAAAAAAGCAAGACAGACAGTACGTTCTACTAGTGGCGCTCTTCAATCCCCCTCGCAGAAGTATCTGTAGACGTTTCTTCCGACCCCAAGATCTCTTGGCGCACAAAGTGTGAATGGCAACTTCGTAGACAATTTTCTGTACACGAAAAAAAAAATTCCAAGAACTGAAGAAATATCAAACTAGATCGTGTGATTGTGATACTAGACCCGAAGTATCTTCCATGATTCAATTCTGCGCTCTACTCCTGTACGCATAGCGCGTTTCATTATACGATGCAGTAGAAGTTTAAATTAACCCCCCCCCTCTCCCCCCACACACAACCCTAAAACAGCACACACAAAAATCAAAAGATTTTATGGAGAAAGGCAGACATCGACATCCATCGTTTACATGTATGTTCGACCGGTACAATTCTAGATATTCGCACCCTTTCCTCCTCCTCCTCCTCCTCCTCCTCC